AGTGTGTTATCTATGGTTACATATGCTACCGCCAAGCTCATTATAATTAAAGAAAGCAAAACAGCTTACTCCTTATTACAAAGCCGGCTACGCACTTGTGGTTCCCCAGGTGTTGCAGTTGTTCATGGGCATTTTAAGTTTATCAGTTGAGCTGCATGCTCCTTTGCCCTCTCTTCCCTAAAAAACTCTGTGAGACATTTTAACTTAGTCTATAAAACAAAGCAGGCAATTAAAAAAATGTGATACAATTAATTAAATCGCCTGATTTGATTCCAAGTTCCTGTGGACTGCAGCCACTTACCATCAAGTGGCCTCTGTTAACTAATTTCTTTTTTTATTCGTAGTTCTTTTTCATCATCATCAGCCTGCGGCAGTCCATTGCTGGACATAGGTACCTATATAAATAGTTGAGTAATTTTTATAACTTGCCTTAACCATTAAAATGAAAGTGATACTTAGAAATAATTTTGCGGTAATCATTTCGAACAAAGATTTACGGAACGGCTTAGCGCAGTTTAAAAATTTTAATTCGTTCTGTTGCAAGGTTTGTTATCGTCAACATAATTAAAAACATAAAAAGTTGATTAAAAGTTTTAAAACAACTTCACCGTGTAAAGTTACAGCCTAATCAACCTACAATTATTTATTATCATCATCATCATAACAGCCTATCACAAGTCCACTGCCCAACTTTGACCCCAAAGGAATGCCAGGTCGTTACTCGATCTAATGAGGAGTCGCCCCACACATCGCTTACCGGAATCAGGCTGCCATTCGGGAACCTTCTTTCATCCGGTCCATTGCCACTTCTACTGATCCGTTGCGCTGTGTCGGTTACTCTAGTTCTACTGCCGATATTGACATTACAAAGTCTATCACGCAGAAGAACTTCGAATATAGCTCTCTCCTTAGCTCGCTAAACGGCCTTGAACTTCCCCATACGGCCAAAAGTGAAGGACCACGAATCTCTCAGAGCCAAAATATCTCATCACTAGCGACACGTACTGGTTTTATTATTTATTAATTAAATAGCAAGTAATAATGGCAGTCAACTGTTGGCAATAATGCCAAGTATTGAATTTTTTTAATGGGAACACTGACGTATTCGTATGTTCTTTCTCAATAAAATTATTTAATAGCAACACCCGGGTTCGTCGCATACAGTGGAATTCACAGCGAGCGCTTAGCCTCTTGACTATCACAAGATAGTGTGGTGGCGAATTAAATCCATAATTGCAGTAGTAGTACAGCCTTTATCGATCCCACTGCCATCAAACCTGCCATCATTTCATCATCATCATCATTACAGCCCTTCACAAGTCCACTCTGAACATAGGCCTCCCCCAAGAAATGCCACAAAGCACGCTCCTGAGCCACCTGCATCCATCGACTTCCTGCACGTTTTACCAGGTCGTCACTCCATCTAGTCTAGCCGCCACTCGAGAACCTTTTTTCCCCATCGGTTGTCGGTTCTACGAGCTATTTGGCCGGCCCATTGTCACTTCAGCTTACTAATCCGTTGGGCTACGTCGGTCACTCTGGTTCTACTGCGGATATCCTCATTTCTAAGTTTATCACGCAGAGAAACCCCGAGCATAGCCCTCTACATAGCTCACTGACGACCTTGAGCTTCCTCATTCGGCCAGCAGTGAAGGAAACCTGTGTTGTCAAACCTGTGTCTTCTCCTAATCAAAAATGTTGAACAACTCGCCTTTAGATGCAACTCTATAGCGGTACTCGACAACGTGTTCCCGAGAAATCTGGGTACGGCTTACGTAAAAAGCATTACCAGTACTGTCAACAGTATAGCAATGAATATTAATGATTGTAAACCAGTAACATTCTTTATTATGCATATTATTGCCAAATGCCATATATGCAGGAGAAACTGTGTAGGTGATCAGGTGATAGCAAGCAGGCTTGTAGAACAACGGTACTAAAATAATCATACTTATGGTTGAAGCATGCACCGTCTGCAACGACTTTGATGTCTCGATCTGCAATAAAATTGCTGATCTAATTGTATAATTTCTTGCGAAGCCCATAGATGAATAAGCTTCGAAAGAACCGTTTTACGCTAAACCCGATCGAATGCCCTCTATGCTACGTCAAATACTAACCAGCATGGTCACCCCCTGGACTCTACTGCATATGCCATCTATGAGTCAGCTAAACTAGAAGATCAGCAGTTAGGTACTTACATTTAGTAGTGGAGTGTGATGTTACGTAGTGGATATTCTTAAACCGTCACTACACCGTAACTATATTAAGAAATAACGATATCTACTATAATCCCAAATATCATAAGAGTATTTCCAATAATGAACTTTTACGTCACCCGTTGAACGAAATGCTATAATAGATTTTCTTGCGCCGAAAGCACATGGCGATCATTGTTATTAATTATTACGGATCAATACCTCTAATAACCACAACTTCATTCTGGACAAAATTTAGGTAGGCAAGATATTTGTTTAAAAAATATTATTAATATCAAACACCTTTACATCTGTTTAAATAAAACGAAGGAAAATATAATTAAAATAATTATTTATTTACAATGTATATCATTAATTCTAGATTGACACAAGTTTCAGTTAATATTTACATACTCGTAACGCTTTGAGGTATTGGTGTATAAATTGTGTATAAATAATACCCAGATACATTATTGCTAAATACATATATTAAAAAAAATTAAGAATTAGTTTTTAAAATTCTATCTATTGCTGTCACTCTGTGCTTCAAACCTTCTTGTAAAGATCACGAGAAAGACAACTGCAGCTCAGAATGGTTAGGGCTATATAAAATGTCGAAATCATCCTTTTGTATACCGATTTTAAATATTTTTAAGAACATTGTGTCTGTAAGATTTTCTTTTATTTTCGTGAAATTTGTTTACTGGATGTCTCGTAACAGTGATATAATTTGTTAATTTTTAGTGATTTTAGAAGGTTCTTGGTTTTTAAAAAAACAGATTAATTGAACAAAAACAAAACATTTGACATGGCAATAGGATAACAAAAGAACAACTACAACAGTCCACCTGAAGGCCCATTGACATCAACATCTATCCTCAATTAAATACAGATGCGTTGCTACCCCTGAGGACTAAAATGGAATGCCCTGTTTCCAGTAAAAAGGATCTCCAGTTTGCTAAGACTTTATTTGCTCTAGAGTCATTATCCAGGGAAAAGAGTAATATGTTTATATTTTGTATGGACTATACTATGAAAACATGTGCTACAATTAAGTAGTTAACAGTTGACTACCAATATAATTTATACTAGCTACTTTTAGTATTGGTGTATAACTTCATTGGTATTTCATTTTTAGAAATATATATTCTACCGACTTCAAAAAGGAGACGGTACTCAATTCGACTCTATGTTTTTTATGTGTACCTCATAAATTTTTACTGGGTGAACCGATTTCGATGATTCTTTTTTTATTTGAAAGCTGGTGCTTCACATCTGGTCCAATATAAATTTAATCAGGGTCTGACCAATAGTTTTTGAGTTATTCTTAATAATTTATATTGAAGTCGGTTGTACAAAATTTATAATTTTAAATTATTTGTATAAAAACAATACAATTCAGATGACCATTTTGACCCAAAAAAAAAACTATGACATCATTACGCTATATTTTCATACATTTGCATTAGAAATTACTGTTTTCAAACCTCATTAATCGATTCATTTTTTACAGCCTATCAAAGAACCACTGCTGAACATAGGGGAATTGCCATGGTTGCCATGGTTGGGAGGCAGATTGGAGACTGCAGTTTTTATTATTTTAAAATACTTATCAGTAAGATGCTGTTGCGCATCTTCTGTTCCATTTTCCCGTGTCACCTCTTAAAACATCCATGGGTTTGAAGCAAGGTAGTGCAGTCTTTCACACCGCCCATATACTGTTTTGACAACTCTAAAAAGTATTTTAATTGTAGTATTAAATAACAAACTGCATAGATGAATAAAAAACATTTGGGTTGCCCAAACTGCCCATGGCTAATCTTACATTTATGTCATGAGAATGGAAATTTGGTGAGAGGCGACAGAAAGAAACAAATCAGGAGGTAGGCAGCAGCACCTTTCTAATAACAGCTAAAAATAAAAAAAAAAACTGCAGTTGCCAACATGCTTGCTAAGCGTGGCAACTATGGCCAAAATCTCCCCTATGAGGCAATCTATGGGGGAGGCCTATGTCCAGCAGTCGAGTTTAAGGCAGTAGCAATGCAACGGTAATGGAAATGTGGTCAGGCAACAGAGACAAGAATACACAAAATCTAGACTCAAAAACCAATGTGTGTGTTGTAAAAATATTGTGTCTCACCTGAAGGTAAGTGGACGCTGAGGGCCATAGACATCTACATTTATCCTCAATTAAGAATCAAAATGCAGATGCGTTGTCAGCCTTGAGGACTAAGATGGAATGCCTCTTTTCCAGTAAAAAGGATCTCCGGTCCTCTACACTCACGATACGAAACAGCAGCATTAAACTGCTATTTTATGCTGGTTTTCTGTGAGAGTGTGATCCTTCCGCAGTCGAGTCGACCCATTCGTGCTACAACTATACTATAAATATAGCTGCAGCTTGGCTCTACCACATAAAAAACTAGACTTGTGACTGACCATAAGGCTCAATAATTTCAGAACTATGGGGCACAGAAAACTAATCTTTAAAAGGACATAAATAACTTAAGAGAGCCTTACCAAGCTTAAAGAATCAACATTCAATAGGGAAGAAAGGTTCTTTAGGTAGCCTTATATTGGCAAATGCAGTATAAAATGACCCCTATAACATAGAGTATCAGCCTGATAAGGCATGCTGAATTATGGGTGCAGGTTCAAGACTATACTATCAATTCATGGCCTCCTTATGTTCCACAGTGGACTTCTAATAGGCTGTATTGAGGATAATGATAATGCATAGCACAAATATTACAATAATTTATTTAAACTTAATAAATATCCTATTCTATTATGTACTTATGACTAAGTTGAACTCTGTCTATAGTTTTTAGTGTCCAATATTTTCTTGCCACACATTGCACATATACCTTTTTTGTACGCACAGGCTTGGCAATAATGTGAACCAACTTGGTGTACTTTCATTCTGCATATTCTGAAAAAATAAATACAAAAAGTTAAGCTATCACAATTATCTATATCATCGTTGGAGCCACACGCAAGTTTGAGTAACGATCCAAGAGCGAGTCTTATCCGACACTATTCCGAAGATATTCCAGACGTCAGTGTGAGCGAGATTAGAATGGCTCTCCAGCATCTTAAAAACGACAAGGCCCCAGGCGAGGATGGAATTACAGCGGAGCTTCTGAAAGCGGGTGGAAAACCGGTACTGGAAGTCCTTCAGAGGCTCTTTAATTCTGTCCTCCATGGTGGCATTACACCGGATGCGTGGAACAGAAGTACGGTGGTCTTGTTCTTCAAGAAAGGTGACAATGCTCTCTTGAAGAACTACAGAACGATTTCCCTTCTGAGCCGCGTCTACGTGCTGTTTTCAAGTCATTACGAATCGTCTCGCACGCAGACTTGACGACTTCCAGCCTCCCGAACAAGCCAGTTTCCGAAAGGGCTTTAGCACCATAGACTACATACATACCCTTCGGCAAGTTGTACAGAAGTCCGAGGAGTACAATTTGCCACTATGCGTGGCGTATGTGACTATGAGAAAGCCTTTGATTCCGTCGAAATTTGGGCGGTGCTGTAGTCCCTTCAGCGGTGCCAAGTTGACTGTCGGTATATCGAAGTGCTGAAGTGCTTGTACAGTAGAGCTACGATGGCTATCCGAGTACAGAACCAGAGTACGAAACCTATACAATTGCTGAAAGGTGTAAGACAGGGTGACGTTATATCCCCGAAACTCTTCACCGCTGCATTGGAAGACGTTTTCAAGCTACTGGACTGGAAAGGATACAGTATTAACATCAATGGCGAGTACATCACTCACCTTCGATTTGCCGACGATATAGTCCTTATGGCAGAATCGCTGGAGGACCTAAGCACTATGCTCAATGACCTCAATAGTGTCTCCCAACGGATAGGTCTTAAGATGAACATGGACAAGACAAACATTATGTTTAATGTCCATGTCACACCTATGCCAGTAGTTGTTGGAAGCACTAAGCTCGAAGTTGTTGATGAGTATGTTTACCTGGGACAAATAGTCCAACTAGGTAAGTCTGACTTCGACCGAGAGGTCGATCGACGGACTCAACTCAGCTGGGCAGCGTTCGGGAAGCTACGACACATCTTCTCGTCAGACATACCTCAAAACCTTAAAACGAAATTGTACAACCAGTGTGTGTTGCCAGTGATGACTTATGGATCTGAGACGTGGTCCTTCACTGCTGGCCGTATGAGGAAGCTCAAGGTCGCTCAGCGAGCTATGTAGAGGGCTATGCTTGGAGTTTCTCTGCGTGATAAACTTAGGAATCAGGATATCCGCAGTAGAACCAGAGTAACTGATATAGCCCATTGGATTAGTAAACTGAAGTGGCAGTGGGCCGGTCATATAACTCGAAGAACCGACAACCGATGGGGAAGAAAGGTGCTTGAGTGGCAGCCTCGTACCGGTAGGCGAAGTGTAGGGCGGCCCCCCACGAGATGGAGTGACGACCTGATAAGACATGCAGGAAGTCGATGGATGCAGGTGGCTCAGGACCGTGCTTTGTGGCATTCCTTGGGGGAGGCCTATGTTTAGCAGTGGACTTGTGAAAGGCTGTAATGATGATGATGATGATGATGATGATCACAATTATATTCTAATTATTAGAGCTACTTCAGGTCTGAAAAGTATTTTTTCTATGTCTACTCTATATATCTACTCATCTAAAACTCACTCTATGTAAAAGATTTTACATATGTGAATTTATGAATTTTGTAAGTTTGTTAGTCATCCATACCTTACGGTCGAATGGATTTGGATAAAATATAGCACACAGGTGGACTATGGCTTTCATTGGGACATAGGTAAGTTTTAATCCCATTAGTATATTCCTATGGGATTTTCTTTTTTTATTTGATAGGTTACACTCATATACACTATATTTTTTAATACCCAAAAATAAAAAGTGTTCTCAGTGTTGGTTACTGATTACATTTAGGTAGAAAAACGTAAAATAATTAATTAAATAAAATATCTCAAGAAAAGGATAATAATTAGTCACTCATTTATTATACATAATTACTGAATTTTCATTAGTTTCTTGAGCCAGTGAAGTAAGCAAGAGAATACGAGTGAGAAAGAATTAGTGATATAGGTACTGTATTAATGGTGGGAGATGGAACGGGAGCGTCTTGTGAATGGAGTGCACATACATTATTTACTTGTGTAGTATTTTCTAGTACTGTGACAATAAAGTTAGGCTAGTTTTTGGATAACAACAAACCTCAATAACATTGTGATAGATAAATAATAAAAAATTCTGACAGTGCCATCATCACTAGTAACATCTGCTGCAACTGTACTTAAATTTTTTTGTTACTTACAAAATAGTGGTGTATACTCCTATATAAATTAGAAGAACATATTCCACCCCTAATTAAAGCCCAAAATATGAACTTATTTTATTCTTTTAGTCCTTTGAAATCTGTTTTTACTTTTTATTAATAGTTAATTTTCTTAAATACTTGAGTGGACTAAGGAATACCTCAATTTCAATGTTGTCTAAATATTACATTACAAACTTTACCTCCCACCACTGCCACCCAGAACCTTGGAAATTATTTTACACTTTTTACTGCTTTGAAGTCTGCTTATATTTTTTAAACAGTTTAATTTTCAAATGACAACGTTATAAAAGACTTACTTGCATTCATCGAATTTAGCCGTGTATGGATTGAATCGAGCTTTCTTTGCAGTTAGTGCCTTGTTTTCACCAACTTTTCTGCCTCCAGATTCAACTGTATTTCTAGCACCAGTCTTCCATGGGTCTGGTGTAATAACACGCCCAAGTTTTTTCTCGCATTTTTCACAAACCATTTTTTATTTATTCTGTTTAACTTTTAAGTGTAATCGTCACATAAAAATGATTATGAAGTAAACAAAACACAATAAATATAACCTATTCTAAAATACAAACCTATATATAATGAAATGTACTCTGTGATACAAACAAAGAGTATAGTAACTGTCCTATACAGGAATATAGGAATGGATACAAAGTACAAACTTGGTACAAACAAATAAAAGTATTTGTTGTTGTTGTTGTTGTTTTTATTATTCGCTCGAGAGTGCAGGCAAAGGAACTAAGCCATATAGCCGTGTCTTTTTTATATTATCCTTCATAGTTCACTGCTTCACAATATGTTGATCCGTCACATTGTGCAGCCCTTGGGAGATTTTGATGGCACCTTGAGACAGCAGACAGCTGACAGTTGGCGATGGTATCTAAAGGCGCCTATGCAGACAAACAGCTTATCTTGGGAATCCATCACCATCAGAGCACTTGTTTCACCGTTTCCACTAATAGTTCACATGCGTAGACAGTTAATACATAAAATTGCATCACTTTTACATATCAAAATCCACTTCTAACTATTATTTAAACTATAATACAGGAGCAGCAAACCGCCGCCGGTCAAGTTTCCGCCAAAATTCCTTTGAAACTCATAAAAGTATTTGATATTGACATTTGGCATACATGACCAGTTTAAAAAACATTTTTATGGTTGGCGTTGGCGGTTTCGAATGTCTATTAATTTATACAAATAATAATTAATTAAATTTTACTAAAAAAAAAATAGTGTAGAATCATTGGTATACATTTATTACACCAATTGATTGGGTCTGGTGGGATTCAATGAGTATTAACGCTACCTGATTTTAATTACATTGTTTATTGCAAGCTCACAACCTTGTTTTGCTTTACCGATGAGCATGCAGTCAATCAGCACATGTGTAAGCATAATGTTAATCTGTGATCAGCGCTTAAGATTTTATGAAAGAATTTGTGAGATAACCTTCGCGACTCAGAAACAAGATACTATTTCGACTACACACGAAGTCCGCCAATGCACTGGAGTACTGTGGCAGGCATAGTGCAACACGGGCCAGTACTATTACCTATATCATGTGGTGGTTTAACAACAATTTGTTATGAGTTTTATTATTGAAATTTTTGGGTTTCGAGTAGAAAAGTTTATTAATTTTGTTTTTTCTATGTTCAAAGTTAGTAGTAAGCGTTGGAGAAGATCAATCCGTTTAAAATATTAATGTTACACAAGTCATTTATATACTAAAAATAAACTTGAACAAAGTATACTACCCTGCGGTCCGCCGTAAACAATTTGCAGGTCAGAATTACTATAACGACCGATCCTAACATATTGAGTTCTATTAATTAAATAACTTTGGAATAGAAATAACTGAAATCTTCTTACTCCCATAGATTGAAGCTTGGAAATTATGATAGGTATTGAAACAGTATCGAACGCCTTAGTAAGGTCATGAAACAATGCGATACATTTTTGACTTATGTCACATTTCCTGACTATATCTATTATAAATCATCAAGGCTATGGACAAAATCAGACGTAAACAGATTCCATCGAAATTTTTTAGACAGATTTGTTCGGAACACAATTCCGCGTTACACTAAAATACCAATATTAATTCTCATGTAGCCATATCGAAAATAATGCTGTCACTTAGTTATTAAATTTTCATCCAATAAATGACATATCTCGAAAAATGTTACGTTGTCCGTGCATGTTAATTGTAATTTTGTACAGGTACAGGTACATCCCTTGTGGCAAAGTTAACTTCCACTAGTATAGTTGCCAGATTTGACGGTATACTACTGTAGCCATAGCATTTTCCCCCGATACAAAACTGTCTGTAATTTTTAAGGGGGGGGAGGGGTAATAAAAGTCTGTCACTACGAAACTCATACATAACAATTAAAACAATAAACTAACAATTTCACACACACATAGACACATATAAAAGAATCGATCGGTGACAGCGACAACTCGAATACAGATTCGGATCAGTCGCTCGACCGATCTACATATTGCATGAAGGCGCGCGCCCTGTGTTGGTAAACAAATCCGAAACAACACGACCGTTTTTATTGTAATTTTTAAGTTTAAAAGAAACTAAATAACAATAATAATATAATAATAATTCTTTATTTAGTTCACAAGTTATTTTAACATAAATAAGTGGCTAGAGCCTCCCTTTAAGCACATAGCGCCTGTAGTAGGAGGCTCCGCTCTTCCACATCTTCATAAACAAAATCTTATGAAATACTTTTAGATAACTTTTAGATGACAGTTATTATTAGAGGCGCAACTTCCGAGGGTTGCGTGCGTTTGGATATATTGAAACAGATATAATTAGTTTTTGCTGCGTTAAGGGTAAGTAAATTCAGATTTAACCATTTTGCTACCTGTGACATCCCAAATTCTGCCCTTTCCTTAACTTCTTGCCATGATTTACCTTTAAAGATAACTGCTGTGTCATCAGCATACGAAATTATTTGTGTGTTTTCTATTTTTAAGTTGCATAAATCGTTTATGTAAAGTAGAAACAAGGAAGGCCCCAATATACTGCCCTGTGGCACTCCATATGATATAGTCGCGTCGTCACTAATAAATTGGTCAACTTTTATATGTTGATTTCTATTGGAGAGGTAGTTTCTAAAAAGTTCAAGGGCACTACCTCTTATTCCCACTTTTTCCAGTTTATATAAGAGTACATAACGTGATTAAAATCACCTATAAAGAGGTAACGCAATTTTTTTGTAAACTTGTCGTGGCGGATCTCTTTTTGTAGCAAAACCGAAATAATTCGGCATTTTTGTAGGACATCGATTCAGCTGTGTAACTAGATTTATTCTAGTGAAGTGCGGCTGCATCTAGTTTTAACGTAGGAACGCATAGGATATGGACTTATATTTTGAGGGGAACGCCTATGTATTTGCCCCCCTCCGTGGCCAGTGTTGCTCTTTGGAGACAGGTTAATTATTCCAAAATGCTTTCAGAAATAACATTTTTTTCTTTATTTAGATACTAGCTGTTCCCCGCAACTTCGCTGGAGTGGTATTCATTACGATTGGATTTTATAGGTTTTTGTTCTTTGTTATTAGTACCGTACATACTTTCATATTAAGCATTTAGTGACATTAGTAACAGACACTTCAATTTTATTTACCTACTTACTTACTTACTTATCTTCACGCACAATCCCTGACGGGGTAGCCAGAGAGAACAGATCGCCAAGTGTCACGATCCTTACAAACCTCTTTCGCTTCTTTCAGATTCATTATCTTCTTCATGCATGCACGTCTAGGTATCCGAGTACTCTTGACCCTACCCTCTTCGAGCAATTTGCTCACATGGTCTTCGAAAGTTAGTCTCGGTCTACCTCGACACCTTTTAATATTAACTTTCGCGCTATATATTTTCTTCACCATTCGGTCTTCACTCATTCGCTCAATGTGCCCAAACCACCGAAGCACGCCCTTATCAATTTTTGTGATAAGGTCATCTTTCAAACCTGCCATATTGCGAATCTCTTCGTTTCGCTTTCGGTCGGCCATGGTAACGCCGCACATTTTACGAAGAGATCGCATCTCCACTGCATTCAACTTACTTTTATGCTTCTTCTGGCATACCCAGGTTTCGCTGCCATATAACAAAGTCGGTACCAACACTGCGTTATGTATTGCAAGGCGTGCACTCTTCGCTACGCCTTGCCTTTTGACTAACGCAGTCAGGGCACCATTGACTTTGTTCCCGGCAGCGACAAGTTTTACACATTTACGCGTTTTACCTACTTGTATAGATAAATCGTTGATAATCGTGTAACTTCTAATTTTGAACGATTTGACCGATTGAAGTCATATATATAAAATATTTGCTTTGTCGAGACGATGGTTCTTAGCTATACTTGGATTCGATAGGTGGCGCTGTCGTTAAATAACAAAAATTGAAACTTATCGAGGCATCAGCCGGAAAGAGCTAAACAACGACTGCCGCGTTGGCTAGCTAGTATTATATATAAATAAATTTTGCCGCATCTTAACCGTTTGTGACGTATTAAAATAGCATTTACGTGTTTTAACCGCTCAAAAATGCTTACTCAGTTCTACTTGCGTACACATTGAGGTAGCTGTTTTATATACGCGTCTAGGAAAACTATTCTAATTCGCATACCCGCTTGGGGGCCGATGACAGTCGTACTCTGTATAACCCTGTATTGTTCCACTATCGTCGCATGTCATCATGGCCACGGAAATTCTTTCACAAACAACCGCGGCTCCTCTAGCGGCACTCTTCCCTTGGCAGGTTTTCATCAGGAGGAAACAACATCTTTCTATATTCACTCTCAATTATGGCTCACCGGAACACAAGATGCACCTTCTGTATGACGCCCCGTGTTGTGGAGCCCCGAGTTCGTTACGTGGGATCTAAAAAAAAGGAGTCGGAAGGAGGTACACGGCAGGAAGCTTTCCCGACTACCGCGGCAGATTCATAATACATTCTACCTACTTGGCTAGCCCCAACTAACCCATCTGCGTCATTAGTCCATAATAGTTCATAGTGAGACATTTGACGTCTTCTCTTCTCCTATCGTGGTTAAGGATACGCCCATAGATATAGTATACATAAAGTGCGAAAATAAGCGTAATTTGTTCGTTAACGATTGACGTCAGCCTAATACAGACTGATAGCGTGTACGTGTATGGTCTAGCCATTCTATCTCGTTCTAACAGAGGCATATGCTATAGAGGCATATGTATGTACATTGCCAATCTAACGCAAGTATATACTATATCTATGGATACGCCACAGTCGTTACGCTTTACAGGTGTATTGACAATCGCAGTACCACGAGTATGAGCTTTTACGTTGATCCCTGTTTTGTCGTTCATACTTATTTATTATTATTGATGAATATGATTTATTCGTATAGTGATATTGATTTAAATGATTTTGTATGAAATATGTTTTTTTTTTAAATTAAACTAATAAAATTTTATTTTAGACGTTTAATACATATAATTACAATACTTATTATTACACCATATTACTATTCATTAAAGCAATTATCGGTAAATTATTATATATGATGTGTTTGTGTGATTTTGATTTTAACGACTGTCAAAACTGTTGTCAATATGTTCTGTATTATGAATTTGATTATTTTTTAATTCTTACAGCATTAATACTTCTTAAAAATGTTATTTATATTTGAAAGATTCAAAACACTATGACCATCACCATATTTGCTTATAATTGGATGTATTCTGAATGCTATTTATGTTATTTGAAAATCGCCGCTTAAACTGTTTCTTGTGTCTTAAAATCAAATTTCCGAAACTTTATGAATGAATGAATTAATGAAATATACTTTATTGTACACCGATAAATAAGAGAAAAAAAATACAAATTAAAAAAAAACAAAGGTACAATTGGCGGCCGATCTCTACCAGGCAACCCCATAGCAGAGGATATAATGACCCGTGAGAAAGGGTTAACTGTTATAAAGTAGAACTGTTTGCAAAATTAGGGCTAAAACCATTTTGATTTTGGAAATCATACTCTGCGAGATAAATATTTGCACAATTTGGAGCGACATCTATAGTGTGACTATCGTTTAATTTATAAGATTTCATTAGGATATTAAGATTTTTCTTTAGATTTTTATGCATACAAATAGTATTTGTATTATCAGAATAAATATGCTTTTCCTTATTTTATTGATTGATCTCATTAATAATGCTATCAATAGTTTATGTGCACAAGAAGGTTTACACTTTACAAGGCTCTAATATTTCTTGTTCCACAACTATCTCTTTGGACGTTCTAGCTAAATGGTGATTAGCACTTTGTAGAGGATTTATTCCAAAAGGTGGTGTCACGTGATCTTGAGTAAAGTTATAAAATGTCATTTGAAGTCGCTGGCGTAGAATAGGAATTGTTATAAAATTTTGTAAGCTGTTCACAAAATCTTGATAATTATTTGTTTTATTATTTTTATGAACTGTGTTCTGTGGGGGTGTGTAAGTCTTAACGTTTAATGGATTTGCAACGGTTTTGGATTTACATTTAATACGTTTATATCACGCAATTTTTTTTCTAGTGCATTATTTTATGTGTTTAGTGAGATCTCTTGTTTTGCTGTATTTAAATCATTTGAACATTTAGGATACATGTTTTCTAAAAAAATAACAATTGTATTCTTAATAGTAAAATTAGTGATGTTCCCAATCAAAAGGTTTGAAGAATATTTGTGTTGATTTTTGTCGAGTTTCTCAATTTATAAAAAATTCCACTATCGTCTCTTTGACAATTATTATTAGGTACTTAAATATTGGTTTACATAAGTCGAAGAGTAATAATAAATTGATCTGAAGCAATATTACTGCAAAATTCATTATTTGACTGTAGACTTTGGTTCATATTCTTAAGGATTTATCTGGACACTTCCTGTGTCGTCTAAATATTTTTAATTAAGGGCATATACCTAAAATATTAAGTTGATGTATTCGCATTTAAATTCTGTTAAAAAAATTAGAAGTTTCAGCATATATTATACGTCTTACTGCTGGGCACAGGTCTCCCCTCATTTCTGATAGAGTTAAATTGTGTAGCTAGAATTAAAGAAAGAGGTCAGTGCTATTGATGAATTAAAAGTTTAACTATTGTCGATGTATGATTCATATTTTATAAGTACTAATAATCCAAACTTTTATGCAGTTTCGTGGCTAAAGAAATTAATTGCTTTGCTTTCAAGTTATGTTGAAGAGGCGTATTAAAATAAATAATTGGATTTTAAACGAATGTAGTCATGTTTTGTTTTGATATTATCCATAAAATGTACCTACATTTTGCATGTTGTCAGTCACGTCATCTCCATTTTCATCGGCATCAAAGTCTTTACCAGGTTCTCCGCTAGGAGTAAAGTATTCTGTGGTCTTTACAATTTGAATTTTAGTTTTTTTTTATTATTATAGTTTTTAATGTTGTATATAATAAAATATTTCTAATGTTATTGTAATCTATGCAAAGAAATTTGAATTTATCAGATATTTTCGATAGGCTAGAATTAGAAAGCAATATTCTTCTCTGCTTTATTTTTGAATTTATTGTTTCTTCTCTTATAAGTTTGATACGAACTAAAATGAATTGAATTATAATTTTGGCGTTCGTTTACAGGTTTGTTATTAGAATCGTCCATAGTGTTTATTTCCGAAATAATTGAATAAGGAAAAATGTTGTTTTTACGCTTTGTGATGACTACAGTTTTTGGAGTCTCACCGTTGAAATCTATAGGGGAAACGTGATCTAAATAAGCTTTAATCATTACTGCTATATTATGTAGAACGCTTTTATTTGGTGGTGATGCTTCGGAAGTGCTTATATATTTTGAGAGATTTTTCCACATCTCACGAAGATTTTCATTATATTTTTTGCACGTTTCAGAATCGTGTGTGTATCCTGCACTCTCTTTAATAGATCTTTTTCGTCTTTCATTTGCAGTACCCTGTAGAAATTATGAAAGTAAATAAAGATGTGGAGAAAACGATTTATTTTATGCGTTCCTTTAAAATATCTTTTTACAATCATCTAACCTTTGTAAATATTAGAGTTATTATTATATCCGTTATACCATATAATTCAATATAAAATATATACTATATAATCTGCATTATTATTTAAATAAAAAATAAATCGTGACGTACGAGATGAGTTTGCGATTTCTGTAATCAATAGAAATTATTGGTTCAATTTTAGCTTGTCTATTTAATTCTACAAAAGCACACTTCTAAGCATAACTAAGCTGGAATTATTTGGTGTTACTACAATTTGTCGACAGGAAAACATTGGCGATACCACATATTCTTATTGTGTCATATATTAAGCTTTCCCAAGGATCAGTAAGATCAAGTGTCACCTCGGTCATCTCGCGAAGTATAGCCTTTCCCCCACCCCATACATAACTTATGCTTGTATTTACTCTTAGACTGGCAGTATGAACGTCAATAAACAACTAACTTGTCGAATCGACAGTAGTTGTTTAACATTGACAGTGTACCTTGTGGTGGTGACATAAGAATATCCCCTAGCCCATATCATCCCGTGGGTGTCATAAGAGGTGACAGAGGTAATTGTACCACCAAGGGATGAGCAGCAGGATCTTTCTGATAACAGCTGGATAAAAAAAAACTATGGTTGCCAACCCGCTTGTCAAGCGTGGCATCTAAGGCAAATGACCCCCCTGGGGGGTCTATGTTCTAATCGTGCATTGGAAAGCATTTACAGTCGTTGGTCCTGGGCCTGATATTTCTCCGGTCGTGTCGGATTGCCTTCCCATCGGACTATGAGAGTGAGGAAATGGAGGGTGCATTTGTGTTTGTGCACATCTTCGTTAATACTGGCCGCCGTGGTCTCGGTGACATTATATTACAGTGAAACCTGGTTACGTGGGACCTGCATAAGTGAGAAACTTCTATTATTGAGAGTTGCAATGAGGTGCCGGTTCTTTTTCATTAAATTACCTCTGTTAATGGGACTCTTTGAACCTGGTTAATTAAGATTTGAATTCTAAGAACTGTTTGCCTCTATAATTGAGACTCTAAAGCTCAATTACCTGTATAAGTGAGACAAATTAATCTGGTTTTAACACGTTTGACATGTTTGTTTACATACAATTCGCGTCGTCTTTCGCGCATGCTTTGTTTGTCAGTACGGGGCCCTCTGTAAATGAGACAACTATAATTAAAACCAGCTTAATTGGAAAACTGGATTATTGGAAACCCTCAATAATTGGTACATATGTCTTGGTCCCTTGAGATCCAAATTAACCAGGTTTCACTGTATATAATGTGTTTACTCAGGCTACAACTTTTGGCTGCACTTCATAGCTTTTAAATTAAATAGCAATGAATTGAGACTTACTTAGCTGTGTTGCTGGGATGGCAGATAATTCAAGTGGATGTTGTAAGTGGCGATAGAGGGAAATTGAAACAGGAGCATCTTCCATTGATAGCAACTCTACAAAACGGCGGTTACCAACTGGCGTGCCAAGCGTGGTAGCTATATATATATTTATAATTGACATAGTTACCGCGTTCGCTCGCAAATATCAGGCAATCAATGGGAGGGCTATGTTCAGATTTTAATGCTTTCAGTGTACTTTGAAAGACTGTAATAAATAAATGACTGGATACTTACTGTCTTTTTTTGACGTTTAATTATTTTACGATATTTTTCTTTTTTCAATTGTAAATACTTCTCCAGTATATTTCCTTTTCCGTATTTCCCACGATATCCTTCCAAATGTATATGTCTAAAAGACAAAATCTTTTCGAATATCTCTCTTAGAATATTTCTTTCTATATTGTGCTTTGCTTTTGTGGGGACTGTCGAATGTATAAAGGCTGTCATGTCATCACCTCCATTGTCTTCCTTATTATTATAACTTTCTTCGCTTTCTTCATTTAATTTATGGGACATTTCAATTTTTTTTAATAGCTTATACTGTTTTTTTATTTTTCTTTCTCTTGTATTCGTTCCAACTGCATTCGGTTTTATAACAACTCCACTTCTGACGATTGTACTGTTATTATGCACCTAGTGATGATTGGTATTTTAGTAAAAAAACTGTACTTATGTTTTAATAAAAAAAAAAAAAAGATTTATGGTAACGTATAATTTAATTTTGAAATAGATTTTTAACTCTTTTTATTTTAACATTTACGTGACAATTTTTACAATGATCTTCATAGAACACTATGTTATACTAGATGTTAGGACTCCTTTTATGCCTAGAAGTCTGTCTAGGTGGATACTACCCTCATACCTATCTTTGCCGTCAAGTAGCAGTGTTCGCACTGCTACTGTCCGGTTTAACCATGAAGCAAATACAAAGAGGAGACGTTGTAATTAAATTTCACTATGTAACAACGCGTGACAATTTGCGGGGTGAGGGGATGCAAAGCCCCGCCCACTACACTATCTACATCTACCGATAAATAGTAAAACTACTCGAATCTTTCCATATCGATGTTGCAATGTAGCTTAGCTACCTTGACGGTAGATGGCGGCATGTCCACAAAATGTTATAAACTTTAAAAATAACACTTTGGCGATTAAAATTTCTTTATGTCTGAATGCAAAGAAATTTCAGCACCTTCGTATGATTATTTTATCATTACTGAGCTCTACGTACCTTTATATTTTTAGTTCACAGGACACAAAGTGTCGCCATCTAGTGTGGAATATATTTAATTATATTTGAAAGCCGACGCAAAGAGATTTTTCTAGAACTATTTTAATAAATCAGGTGTAAAATTACTTACAAACGAAATGTGATGCCATCCATAGCATCGGAGTGTCTAGCTCATGAAGCAAATACATTCAGACAAAGAAATTTTAATCGCCAAAATAATATTTTCATAGTTTTCATAATAATCTTGGGAACATGCCGCCATCTATCGTCAAGTAAACCTCATAAAAAATAACAAAACGACAGGGCCGCAATCAGAATTCAATTATTTTACCCAGTAACCCAACATTCAATATTAAAATGAAGGAAATTGTACTTGGCTGATTTTTACGAAATGTTTAAGTTATATTTAAGTGACATTCTATATGCAGAGAATCACTTAAATACAATTTAAATATGTTTATCATTTCGTGAAAGTCAACCAAGAAATATTTATTTTATCCATAAAATAAAGTCTCTTTGAAACTAAATATTCTATGTTCAATATTAAGTAGGATATTTAATTTGGAACTAAATATCCTACTTATCTCACTAATATTATAAGGCGAAATTTTGTGTGCTCTTTGTCTCCTTGAGCTTATTTCACACTAAGTATGTGTAATTTTTTCACGCAGAAACGGCTGGATTATTATTTATGTGTGGGTTATACTACTTAATATCTCTGAGGGAGAACAAATAATAGACAAATTATTATAATTAATATAATTTTATTTACAAATCAATTAAAATATAAATATTTTATTCCAAATTAGGCATCCGAATGCACTTTTTGAATGCCAATCTAAGAACATTAAATTGTATTTAAGTGATTCTTTGCATATAGAATGGCACTTAAATATAACTTAAACATTTCGTAAAAATCAGCCTAAGTACAATTTCCTGCATTTAATATTAAAAGTTGGATTACTGGGAAAAATAATTGAATTCTAATTAGGGCCCTGTCTTTTTGTCATTTTTATGAGGTTTACTTGACGAGAATATGGCCTGTTCTCAAAATGATTATAAACTATAAAAATTATATTTTGCGATTAAAATTTCTTTATGTCTGAATGCAAAACAAATTTCAGCACCTTCGTATGATTATTTTACCAATACTGAGCTCTACCTTTACATTTTTAGTTCACATGACACAAAGTGTCGCCATCTAGTGTCGAATATATTTAATTATATTTGAAAGCCGACGCAAAGAGATTTTTCTAGAACTATTTTAATAAATTAGGTGTAAAAATATATACAAATGAAATGTGATGTCATCCATAACATCAGAGCGTCTATCTGAGTAGTTTTTACACAATAAAACACAACACTTCATCCTTTTCTTCTTAATACTACGAAAATACACCGATTTGCGATTTTTTCAACACATAAGCGCACAGGACGAATGCTGACAGTATACTAACTAAAGCCACGCCCACTATGATGACGTCAGGACCTACTTAGAATCACAGTGCACAGTTGCTTATGCCGTCTCCCCTTTGTATTAGCTTCATGGGTTTAACAATTACAGACTGTGTACTGTCCTCAGATATAACATCGCATCAGTAGCCTTTCTTGTCTGAAGTTGGTAGCTGATGTCCATAGCGACTTATCTACTTCTATTTTTTTTAATTATATAATGGTGACAAACGAGCACACAGTCCACCTGATGGTAAGTGGTTGCTGTGGCCCATAGACATCTACATCTATCCACGTTTGCGAATCAAAATGCAGATGCGTTGTCACCTGCGAGGACTAAGATGGAATGACTCGTTTCCAGTAAAAAGGGTCTCCGGTTCTCTACACTCACCATACGAAACACAGCAGCATTAAGCTGCTATTTTACGCTGGTATTCTGTGGGAGCGTGGTCCTTCCCCGGTCGAGCCGACCCATCCATGCTACAACTATACTAATATAGCTGCCGTATGGCTCTACCACGTACAAAATACATATATAATAGCGACTAACCATCAGGTAGACTATAAGTTCGTACGACGTTCGTTCGACTATAAATTTTATTAAAAAAGGACCTACAGGATTTTAAAGTACTACGGGTCATAAGTTGTGTATCGCCAGCAATGCAAAATTAGGAATTAGAATTTAGAAAACCCCAAAATTAGGGGCTTTTAGGTGCTAATTAGATGCCAAGTTTAAAAATTAGGTGCTCTAAAATGTTCACCGCAACGGACTGTTGAACTTTGCGTTGCTAGCAAAACGTTCAGGTTTTCTGAAAATCAAAATAGAATCAAAATGCTTTTAGAAAAATACAAAATTAGGGGCTTTTTAGGTGCTAATTAGGTACCAAGTTTAAAAATTAGTTGCTCTAAAATTTTCACCGCAACGAACTGTTGAAATTTGCTTTGCAGGAATATTGACATAGTTACTTCTGCAACGGCTTCGGCGCTGCGTGGAGTGCTGTCCCTTCGCCGCTGCGCCGAGGTGATCGCTACCAAGCTGTTTCTAATTTGTTGTGTTGTTAATTTGTGTAACATACATGATTGTAAGCTGTTATTTAAAAAAAAAGTCCCGCTGGGTTTCTTGCTGGTTCTTCCCAGGACAGAGGTTTTCTCCGAACCAGTGGTAATTTAAACAAAAGATTGACTTTCAATAAGTATTATTTATAATCTATATTGAATAAAAAAGTTTCTGTTTCTGTTTCTGTTCCCTCGCGTAGAAAATCACAAGGACCCATGATCACCTCCGCAGCTTCGGCTTATTCGCCGAAGGTGACCAGCCCCAGCCTCTACGGCTCGCTCGGATGCCTGCGTTTTACCACAGCAGGCGGGGGCTGCTCTCCCTCCGCGCCTACGGCTTTACAAAAACACTCAAGTGGTAGGGCAGAAGACTACGTAGAGTCGGGGCGTTCTGATTTGGTTTTAGTACAGATTCGACCTAATATATAACTGATGAAGCACAAAAAATGCCATTCATACCTTATAGTAAGGTAATGGTGGTCCCGAACCCGATAATTCCCAGAATATTATCGTCATCTACATCCGACCCCCATAATCTTTCAACACTTAATTCCTTGCTATTAAAATTTATCGTACGAGCACTCAAAATTTCGGGAATCAAGGAAGTGACACGACATTACTATTTAAAAATGTATTTATTGCTTTTCGAAGTATTCTCCGCGAAATTTGACACATTTTTCCATACGATGGAACCAATCATTGAAGCAACCATTCCATTCGGAAGTTGAGGTCTCCAAAATGGCCGTTTTGTAGGCGTCCACAGCTTCTTCAGGTGATGAAAATCTCTGTCCACGCAATTTATTCTTTATTTTAGGGAAAGTATAGAAATCATTAGGGCTTAGGTCGGGGCTGTACGGCGGATGGTCTAATAATTCTATGTTTTCTTGCTCTAAAAACTCTTTTGTTCTGTGTGCGGTGTGAGAACTCGCATTGTCGTGATGGAGGATGATGCGGCGGTTGCAGTTCTCTTTACGGAGTTCAGAAACGACCTGTGGCAAAAAAATGCTAGCATACCATTCTGCATTAACCGTTCTTTGTCCCCCAAGAGGAATAGTCGTAACATGGCCGGTTTTGGAGACAAACGTGGCCACCATTTTTTTTGCAACACTCCGTGAACGAACAATTTTTGTTAGCTTTAACTCATTTCCGAACACCCAAACTCGTGAATGGTTTTTTGTTTCGGGTTCGTACGCGTATATCTAGGATTCGTCACCTGATACGATGTTATATACAGCATTTGAGGATCCTGCGTGGAATATTTCGAGAGTTCTGACGCACCAAGTAACGCTAACCGCTTTTTGCTCTTCACAGAGCGAATGCGGTTTACATCGGGAAAACAACTTTTTTACACCTAATTGTTCATGCAAGATTATTTGTATTTGACTCATGCCAATGTCTAAAGTTGCCTGAATTTCGCGGTATGTCACATGTCGATCTTCCTCAATCAGCTTACGCACAGCATCAACGTTTTCTTGGGTGACCTTGACCAGTTTTTGGACGATCTTGACGGGGATCATCACTGAGCTTGACACGTCCACGTTGAAATTCAGCAAACCAGCGATAAATTGTGGTTTTGGATGTGGCTTCATCACCAAATACAGAAATCATCCGGTCAACACACTGTTTTTGTGTTAAACTACTTCGAAAGTCATAATAAATCATCGCTCTTGAATTTTCTCGAGTTAATTCCATTTTCTCAACGACTAAACAAGTTTGACAAAACCTTGTGACAAGACCGAGATTCTTTTTTTAAATAAATAAATGGTATTTGATTTTT